CCATATTTCGGCTCGGTAGGACCCCACAGAGCTCATGAGAGCACCTCAAGGGCTCCTAAGTAGACACGCCTATCCCCATAAGGGTGCCACGCCGGCTTCTGAAGGCTCCTTGTAGGCATCTAAGGGCCCTTTCCGGCCTCTAGCGGCTCCACCCGCCTGTGTGTGATGGCTCCACATCAGTGTTTATGAGTGCCACAAAGCGGCGCCTTTGAGGGTCATACTAGTGTCTCTTAGGGCCATATATCGGTGGCTCTGGGGGCCCCACACCTGCGCCTCTGTGGGCCACCGCCCACCACACCTGTGCATCTCAAGGCTCTATAGGTACATCTGAAGGACGGAGGACCCTCACCGACACCTCTGAGGGCCCCACACCAGTACCTCCGAGCTCTGAAGGCCCCACACCGGTGACTCTGAGGACTCACCGGCTCCTGAGAGCACCATGTTGATGCGGCTCCCCACAAGGCCACTGAAGGCACCACACAAGCTCTCACTTAGCTCTAATGTCCATGTACCGGCCTCTGAGGGATTTAACCCGCGCACCGACGGGGGTCGGCGCCAACTTAGTACCGACGGGGGGGGGCGGATGACCGCCCCCCCTGAGATCTCGAGAACGAAGCAAGATAGCGACAAGCGGTAAACGGCATCGGATACGCACGGACAAGGTCTACAATTTTTACTAAGGTCATTTTCAGGTCAGGTCAAAGATGACGTCACAGGGGTCGAAAAAGTCAAAATGGCGGCGCTAGATATGGACAGGGTTTTTCTCGAATAACTTTCGAATTAGTCAAGATAGGAACAAACTAAGGGCATCATCGTGATCCTCTCGTCAATCCGCATCGAATGATATATATGTTGACCTCGAAAGGTCAAGGTCAAAGGTTGACCTCAGGTCACGTGACCTCGAGGTCATCATGTATATCATTCGATGCGTCTTGACGAGCTGAACACAATGAGACCATCCGCGCGGCTGTATCTTGTTCCTGTAAGGAGTTATTGGCAAAAAACCTTTGGTGACCTTTGATGACGTCACATGACTTTACAGCTGCCCAACAGCAAAACAGACCTCAAGGTAGTGAAGGTTGATCGTATGTGAAGTCATGTATGGTATATGAGGCCATTCCGACCCGTTTTAGTGGTAAAAACAGGGAGTTGATTTTTCCCCCATTGACTTATAATGGGGAGGTCGCGAAATTGACCTGACCTTAGGTCACCGACATCAAAATTCCGAGATATACAAATTGTAGCTACTAATGACCTAATAACATCCTGCGACTTTCAAAGGCCTCCGACATCTACTGTAGCTCTGGCACGGTGACAAAGTTGCAAAAAAGTGACTTGAGGTTGGGTCATTCAAAGTGACCTGGTGACCTGACCTTAAAAGTTAGGAGGTTCAAACTTGCACACCATGTGTAAAATTGATGAGAGAATAGTCATACCAAATTTCGCGGCGCTACGCGCCGCGGTTTTCCCGCTATCCGCGAAAAACCTCAGGGGGGGGGCGGATATCCGCCCCCCCGTCGGTGCGCGGGGGGGGGGCGGATATCATAGCTCCACACCAGCAATGGTAAGGGCTTCACACTGAAGTGTCTGAGGGTTCCAGACCGGTGTCTCTAAGGGCCACATACCGGCATCTCTGAGGGCCCCATACCGGCGTCTCCGAGGGTCCACATCTGGCAGGCACCCATCAGCGACTGAAGGTCCCACACTGTCGACTCCGAGAGCCCCATCTGCGTCTGGGAGCACCATGCCGTCTCTAAGAACCACAGCGGCTCCTCCGTACGAAAGATGGGCGTCTGCATGCCAAAAGGGAGCGGTTCTGAGACAGTAGGGCACCTACGTGCAATAGAGGGGCGCCTATGATGCCCATAGGGGCGCCTCAATGCGAAAGAGGGGCGCCTGTGAGGCCTACATATATGGGCGTCCACATGCAATAGGGGTCTGCAATGCAATTGATCAATGCCATGGTAGTGCATTCATAACAAACAGGGGCGCCGGCATGGCAAAGAGAGGCGCCTTCAGGCTTCAAGTGTCCATAAAAGAGGGACGCCTATGATAAGCGCACATTGTATGCGACTGTGGGACATATAGGGATGTCTCTGATGACTATACATAGGGCGCTTATATGCCAAAGAGGGCGCCTATGAAGCTAATGGTGGCACCTGGGAAACGAGGAAGACATTTGTGTAAGGGTTTTCAGGGGTCATTCGCCGTTTGCGGCAAATAGATTCTAAAAAAAATCGGAGGGGGAATAAGTTTTAAAAATGGTGCGGACTTCCCGCTCTGTTCGCTTAAGCGGTTACGCCCCTGGGTACATCTGCCCGATGTCAGAAGCTAGATTTGGAGGTCATACCTACTTGAAAGCAGCCAGCAGGACGAGGCAAAAGTTGGAGGCCCCTGAAAATAGGAGGCCCCTGGAAAAGGAGGCCCCTTGACAGGGTGGCCCACCCACTTTTCATGACGTTCCTACGCCCATGGGGAATGCTGTGGTATGGCGCACTAACGGGCACACAATGTGTAAACTGCTGTAGGTGAAACGAAAGCAAATATTTTTTAGTAAAAAACTGCGATTGCAACATGATGACAAATACTTAAATCGACGCCAAACCAAAAAAAGATACGGCTTTTTGTGAACCTGCATTAGAAGCAGCAGACTTTGGGGATCATTGCCATGTATAATTTTTGCCATTTGTACCAAATGAATGCACGCTAGCGGCCTTTGAACTTGCGAGTATCTGACAGTCATTTTACGACATAGAAAATGTCACGACTTCTGACAATCATACACGAGCCCGGTTTTGACAAAAATATGAAAATTATATTTTTCAGACACCCCAAACATTTGCCTAACTGGCCATATTACGATTTATTCGATTAGGTGAACTTGAAATTTGGGCCTTTTCGGTATTTATGGCCACTCGTGGACCCCATTTGCATCACTGTGTGTGCGTGTCCCGAACCCGTGCCGTCCCGTGCGTGTGTGCTGGCACGGGATGGCACTGCCGTCCGCCGCGCTGGTAATGGACCGGCTGATCAGGTGATTTGTAAATGGATGTGCGGTCCCATGACAGACAGACTTGCCCAAGTCTGGCGCTCCGAAACACATTCCTTGGTTGATGAGCTTTTGGAGCATTCCTTTTGTGACTCTGTGATTTGTTAGTCACTTGCGGCGTAACATAAGTGAGATGATAGTCCCGCATCGTCCGTGATTATAATTCGAACTTCGAGGCTTTGTAAGCGGCTGTCTATTCAAGAGACCATCCCGTTCCTTCCCGCCCTGGCTGTAGGTTGTAGATCCAGCCGTTAGTGGGTGGGGGAACTGCGAGCGGTCGGTCGACGGCGCGTCTGTGCGCGGCCCGGGGGACCTCTCCAGTATGAGTAGAGTGGATTTATGGCACGCTCAGAACTCTGTTAAATATGTAGTAGCCATGGCTGCGAGCGGCCTATGAAGATGCATGCGTCTCTTGTATGAAATGGTCGCAGATGTATGCATTCTGTCGAACGTTTCGGTCGGTCGAGTAGAGTATGTATATTTATTCACGACTTTACATTGTTTTCATAATTTTGTTATAAGCGCAGAGATGTGTCGGTCTTTAGAAAAGGGTTCTTCAGTTGACATTAACCCGCGCCCCGTAGGGCTACCGGCGGACCCTACCACCCGTAGGGGGGGGGGGCCGTATCGGCCCCCCCTAAGATCTCGGAAAGTTACCGGCGGATTTTCAAAATTCAAACGGCGTTCGATAGCCCCACCCGGGAACTACCTTGTGACCAAATTTCATTGACCTAGGTCAAACCGATGACGTCACAGGTCAGGTCAAAGGTCAGATTTTCACCGTTCACAGGCAATTCAAGAAATGTGCTGTGAAAGCGAGTAAATTGGTAATTTATTGAAAACCATCGATGGTACATTGTTCGTCAAACACATACTTTGCTATCTGAGGTCACTGATACCAGGTCAGGTCACAGCGAGGTCAGGTCACCGGGGGTCACAATATGAATGTGTCGTGTGATACATGTTTTATGGTCCATTTTACATGACAAATGCGATTATGTGGGTTAGGCAGCCTTTGGGGCCAGCCTAGGTCACGTTTTTGTGAAGGTCAGGTCAAGGTCAGGTCAAATTAGGTCAAATTTCAAAGTTGATATTTTTGCATAAAATGGGTATCGATTCGATGCAGCTCGTCACGGGGAGTCTAATGGTGGTCTTCGTTTTGCTCTACGAGTTCTAGAATTGCCAAAAATTGAGTTTGAAAATTTGACGTCATCATTTTTGAACAGTTTTTTCGCTATAACTTGGCCAAAAAACGAGGTATCGATCTGAAATTTGGTATGTAGATAGAATTCGGTAGGCACTATCACATATATTCCGGTTTTTTCGAAACTCAAAAAACTTTTTGGATTTTTTGGCGAATATATCCAAAAAAATGCTTTTTTGATTTTTGGGGGTCAAAACTCAAAAATTTCAAAAATTCGAGATAGCAGTTTTGTAGCCCTGTCAATTCTACACCTTTTATGTCTTGATCATTTTTCTGTATCTTCAAAGCTGTAGTCCTGACAGGTCTTCTCGCGAAGGTCTTTTTTCGGTCGAAAATGACAGAACATGACGTCACTCTGACGTCATTTGTGGCCAACCTATCATAGCCTCTGGAGAAATCTTTGGTCACAATGTGCAAAATTGATGCCCGGAGGGGTCCTGAAAGTTTGGTGGCGATATCTCCAGCCGTTTAGGAGATATCGACCGAAAAGGACAGGGGGGGGGCCGTTTCGGCCCCCCCCCTACGGGGCGCGGGTTAACTGATACCTCTGATACCTCGTATGACTACCAAAAGTGTCTGTCACCGACGAAAAGTGTCTGTCGAAAAAGCCACTGACAGGCACCGGCGATGTTCCAGTCATTCCGGAATATATCACCGGGCCCATCGCTGTTATATTCGTCTGGCCTTTCGCTGCTCTACCATTCTTACCGCGATCTAACCACTGCACCCTGCCGCTCTGACCCACAGAAATTCAAGCTGATGCTGCTGAAGGGGGACGACCACTCGAAGCAGGTGCTGCTCTCCGTGCTGCGGAAGATCGACGAGCACCTGGGACAGAAGAAGACGCGCTTCCTGACGGGCGACACGTTGTGCTGCTTCGACTGCGAGCTGATGCCCAAGCTGCAGCACATCCGGGTGGCAGGTACGGGCGCAGCGGCCGGCTCTGGCGTCTTCCCCGTCAGGATAGAGTGGTCCATTGGATGTGTCGGCTACTGACCTGTGACTACTGGTCCGTTATAGCAGAGCAATAAGGCTTTTGCCTATTACCGACTCATTGACAATGCTGGACAGTGGACCTGGAATCCTCACGCAGCTAAACTTTCTTCTTTCTTCCCAAATATTATCTCCTATGCGCCATTGTTTCCGTCTGTAGATCCCCAAGCGACCTCTCGCCCCTTCGTGAACCTTTCCAGTGACTGCTGAACTTTCCATCGGCGACCTGTACCCTCTCCCTCGGACTTTTTGTGTTTTGTGAACTTTTTCCGAAGCATGTGAAGTTACTCAATCAACTATGACACTTTCCTAGACCAGTAACTCACTATAGCTTGATGCCTCTCCCAACGACATTTGACCTTTCCCTTGGGCGACGACCTGTGGCATGCCTGTGACCTGTTCCCCTCCCCGTTGACCTGTGACCTTTCCCCGTAACCCCCGCCACCGGCGCCATGACCATGATCGGCGTCGCGGTCGGCCCGCCGCCGCTCGTAACTCGCTGATGGCCCCGCTCGAGACTGCGGCCGGGTCGCGGCGCCGCCCGCGCACCATCCGCTGCCACCCTCGTCTCTCACGTCGGCGACCATTACCCTGGATTCCGGTGTCGTCCTTTGATGGGAAAAATCAGCGAAAACCTCAACATCACTGCGCGGCTTACCATGTTTTATGGAAAATGTTCAAGCGTTATATGAAATGGAACGGTGTAAGATCACAATTCCTATGATTTTCTATGTCACAACCACTTTTTACATTGATTTCCTGCGTCACGGTCTCCGTTTTTGCCGTGTTTCGGTCCGAGTTTGTGCAGCTTTTTCACGCCGTGTGCCCAAGTGCCGCCGCTCGGTCGGTGAGTGCAGTGGCCGTTGGCGGACAGACGCCGCCGCCGAACGGCCCAGGGACGAGATTTGTCGCCGCCCTGCCAGGATGGAGGGCGAGTCATTAGTCGGCGGGGGGGGGGGGGGGTGACGCTCGGTGCCATGGCTCGCGGGGGAGGGCGGTATTGGCCACGATGTGGTGACGGCGCCGATACGCTGATGGGGAGGTGCTCACGGCGCCGTAGTAGCGCCGTCGGTTCAGGGTGTGACCCGATTCTGTCGTGGTAGGTTGTAGACGATGGAATGGGATGACGTTCTTTAAGATGTGTGTATACGTTTGTGCGGAGAAGGTGGTATTTGACCGTTGTGGTTTCTGTGTGCTCGTTTGCAGGGAAGTTTTTCCAGGAGTTTGAGATTCCGGCCGAGTTCGAGAACCTGTGGCGCTACATGCACCACATGTACCTGCTGGACGCGTTCACACAGTCGTGTCCAGCCGACCAGGACATCATCAACCACTACAAGCTGCAGCAGGTCAGTCAGATACAATACACCATACTATAAGCTGCAGCAGGGCAGTGGTACACGGTAATACAAGCTGCAGCAGGTCAGTGATACACCACTCTACAAGCTGCAGCAGGTCAGTCAGATACAATACACCATACTACATGTTTCTCAGCCTACCATATTCTGCGACTGCCCAAACTGCCTCTCCTTGTGTGAACGGCGCAGTGCATCGCATCTGTGCTGCTGACATCGCGGCAGATGGCGGCCATGAGACTGAATGCTTTAGGATAGTTTTTGCACAGATAAAAAAGCCAATTTTTTTGCAACAATGCTCATATAAAATTATCGATCATTGTTTTATTTAAGATCCTCCAATGGTACATTTAAAATGAACACTCATTTTATGAAACACCCTGTATAAGCTGCAGCAGGACAGTGATACGCGGTACTGCAAGCTGCAGCAGGTCAGCGATACACCACACTACAAGCTGCAGCAGGTCAATGATACACCACACTAACTACAAGCTGCAGCAGGTCAATGATACGCCACACTAACTACAAGCTGCAGCAGGTCAATGATACACCACACTAACTACAAGCTGCAGCAGGTCAATGATACACCACACTATATACAAGCTGCAGCAGGTCGGTGATACACGCACTGACTCACTTAGCACCAGGACATGATCAACCACTACAAGCTGCAGCAGGTCAGATGAGGACATTCGGGAGACAAACAAGGGACTCCTTTCCATGTGAGCTCGGCTAATCACACGACTCGACTAACCTACAGCGAGTTAGCGTAACACCACACATTCAGCATAAGCTGCATAACCCGCGCCCTGGTGGGGTCTGTTTATAACGCGACCTGGTGGGGGGGGGGGGGCTATTTTTTGCCCCCCCTCGTATCTCCGAAACTACTGGACGGATCCGCAAAATTCAAACGGCGTTGGAAAGGCCTGTCAAATTTGTCGAAGGAAATCAAATTTCATTGACCTCGGGGTCACCGATGACGTCACAGGTCAGGTCAAAGATGAAATGTTTCACCGTTCACGGGTCTTCTAGGGAATGCGCTATAACACCGAGGAAAACGCATTTTGTCGAGAATCAGCGGTAGGGCGTCAGTTGTCTAGTACATATGTTGCTATTAGAGGTCACTGGTCATACCAGGTCAGGTCACAGGTCAGGTCACCAAAGGTCACCAAGGGTCACCACATGAACCCAACTCTACTAAGGTTGTGCGATGCATGTTTTATGGCCAGTTTTTTCATTTCCAACTCAATGGTGTTGGTTATAAGACCATCAGGTACGGTTTAGGTCACTTTCTGGTGAAGGTCAGGTCAAGGTCAGGTCATAAAAGGTCAAATTTCAAAGTTGATATTTTTGCATAAAATGGGTATTGATTCGATGCAGCTCGTCACGGGGAGTCTAATGGTGGTCTTTGTTTTGTGCTACGGGGTCTAGAATTGCTAAAAATTGAGTTTGAAAATTTGACGTCATCAATTTTGAACAGTTTTTTTCGCTATAACTTCGCCAAAAAAAGAGGTATCAATCTCAAATTTGGTATGTAGATGGAAGGCGGTAAGGACTATCACACATATTCCGTTTTTTGCGAAATTCAAAAAACTTTTTGGATTTTTCGATTATTTTATCCAAAAAATCTATTTTTTGATTTTTGGGGATCAAAATCCAAAAATTCATAAATCCGAGATAGGAGTTTTGTAGCCCTGTCCAATCTACAGCTTTTATGTCTTTATCATTTTTCTGTATTTGCAAAGCTATAGGCCTGACAGCTCTTCCCGCGAAACCCTTTTTTGGGTCGAAAACGGCAGAACATGACGTCACTCTGACGTCATTTCCGGCCAACCTATCATAGCCTTTGGAAAAATTTTTGGTCACAATGTGTAAAATTGATGTCCGGGAGGGTACTGAAAGTTTGGTGACAATCGGCGCAGCGGTTCTGGAGATATATCGAAAAGTTTGGAGGGGGGGCAAAAAATAGCCCCCCCCCCACCAGGTCGCGGGATAATACTGACTCACAAAACATGCGGCGGGCCACTGCTGCTTGTTGATGCCGAAGCGAGCGAAGTTACTTCTCCGTTTATGGTGACAGACAGACAGACAGACAGACAGACGTTTATTCGGAGTCTCCATACAATGGGTTTTGTGACTTCCACGTCATATACAATGCGAAATAAAAATATAGAATATCTAGTTAAAACCACATAGCAAAAGTACAAGCACACTAAAAACCACTAAACACCATTCCATTCCTTACTAGCACGAAAAAGGAAGCCACGGCGGGCGAGCTCGGTTTTGACACGAGGCAGATTCAATAGTCCATTCTCGGTCGCACGAGTACATCTGGTAGACTCGTCAGATCTTAAGACCAGCTTATTACGCAAGATCTCAGGGGCGTTAGCTGAGGTCAGCAGATGTCGTACAATGGTGAGATCATGATCGCAAATCAGGTCGTCAACACATTTCCAGGCTAGCTCCTGCAGTGCTGGGGTTACATGTTCGCGCCGGCTCAGGCCACACGCTATGCGAGCACCGAAGTTGATTATTTTCTGAATGCGTGAATGGTGAAGTGCATGGTTTCATATTAAAGGCAGTCTATTTGGACATGCAATGCAACCGTTTCATAAATTGCCCACCATGGCTACTCTAGTAGTTTGCAATAGTATTTAATTGCAATGCTCACGCGAACATTCGTTTTGATTATGCTTATGTTTCCGACTTCCAGGTCATGCGTGCTTTCTTTTATGTTTGGTAGCTACATTGTTATTGCCGCTAGCGTTTGATACTGGCGGCGTATTGCTATTCCTATCCACGCCTACTGACGTTATGGCGCGTTCACATTGCCTGTCCCCATGCCGTTTCCGACCAATGACCTTTCGCATTTTCCCACATTTTGGTGACGCAGTTCGTATTCAGACGGTGCTGGGCTATTTTCGAGCCGCACATCCGGCGTCACGGCCGCAGCCTCAGACGGCACACAAATCATATTCAGTCCATAGATCTTGTTAAATTCTGGCCGTCCTCACAGAGAGGTTGACGCGGCCTGCCGGGAGGCGCTCGGTGACCAATGTTGTGTTATGAATCGGCCCGGCTGCCAGCCGCAGGTCGGCCGAGCACAGTTTACCGTCCAATCTCGGTCGGCGATTGAGCCGCGCGCTCGTGATGCCAGCTCCCATCAGGGCGCTGATCACCGGCTGGGTTACTTTGGTGCGCCGTTTGTCCTATATACGGCACGACCGTCCAGCCTTGTCTGCGGGACCGCTGTCGCGGCTGCCTTCCGCGCGCCAGCAGCGCTAACGGATGGGGGACGGTCAGAGTCGCGCGGGGTCGATTTCATTCCCCGGGCAGAGCAAAGAAACGCCGCCGCCGGCCCGGCTGTCTGTCTCTGACCAAAGTTCGTGACATTGCTGTCGCCTTTACGGCCATCCAGGAGATGACTCAAAGGCGGCACTGGAACCACGTCGGTTGGTGAGTTCCATTATTTTGGTAAGAGGTTTGCAGGATATAATAAGCCCCTTTTCTGAAGCCTTATTTTTTATAAATGTATGCCAGATTTTGGTAGGGCGATGTTCATTAAACAATCTAGGGTTTATTTTGGGATCCTTTTTAAACCTAGGCTTGCAATCCTCCATTCCGACCCATATCATTTATTCCTTGCCATGCCGTGCCGTTTACCAATTATTTTTCTCACTGCAAGAGTCCGTGTCCGACTCTTTTCCCGCACCATTCTATACCTAACTTCTGTCGTGTTTCAGCGCACCAAGATGAAGAAGCACGAGGAACTGGAGACGCCCTCGTTTACCACCTCGATCCCGCCATCGGTCCAGGTCGACTGACGGCCGCCCGTCCCCCGCGGCCGGTCCAGCACACGGCTGCCGGTACCCCGCGGTCGGTCCAGCTGACCGCCGCCGGTACCCCGCGCAGACCCGGGCAGACGGCCGCCGGTACCTCGGGCGGTCCGGCCCGCAGGCGGTGCTAAATTGAGCGCCCGCCCGCCCGCCCGTGACGGTCCGGCCGGCGGCTGTGTATGTTGGTGTGGGCTGATCAGAACTGCGCCCTGTGCCTGGCATCGCGTCGGCCTGCTGCACAGTCGTCAGACGTGTATTGGGTTCCCCCAGTCCGCTGTATGGATGTGGACACGCGCCCGCCTTGACGTAGTCGGGCGTACAGCAGTCCAGACTGGACGCTAGTAGCTGCTCTACGTATCGCAGTGCTTCTGCAGAGCAGACTGACAGGCCAGATGATCGCGTTTCGCCGTGGGCGGGTACGTTATGTGCTTCTGTGGTTACTCTGCGAAATTGTTCGCAATGGCGGCGCGTCCGAATGACCAAGAGACGGCGAAGGGTGGGATCACTCGCCTATTCGATCTCTGCCGAAGGGATGTCGCCTTCTGAATTAGCCGCTTGTGCCTGAGAACGACTGAACTCACTATGTCACGACATTCCGGGTGGCCCAGGGTGGCGACCCGGGGCTCCCCGCACGGAGAGAGAAAATATACTGACCAAATGTGCGGACTTGGTTGTGTACGTGTGTGGAAGGTTGTGTAAAGCTGCCGAGGACAGAGGCTGGCTCAAATCTGTGAAACGCCGTTACCTTTTTATAACTCAAGTTTTAAGTGCATAGCTGCTTGTATTCCCCTTTCAATCCCCAAAAAGAGAATGGTGAAAGAAAATAGTTTGGTATACATATGTTGTGCGGTGACGGAAAATTGACTTCCGCAATGCGTGCTCAGTGGCCACCCTGCGCTGTCGTAAAGGCGCTGCGCGTAGGTGCTCTTTCATCTTCCTTTCAATTTCATTCCACTTTTTGCTTGTCACACGCCAGGAACTGGAAAACAATATTTATTATTAACTGCATCGGCCGAAAAGTTTTTTACGGTAAGATAGATCCTTCAAATAGGTCATGGGCCTCGTTTCATAAAGCTCTGCCGTAACTTACACCTTTCCGTAATTCACACCCTTTCAAACTACGGAGCGCAAATAAAGCCGTTTCACAAAGCCACAACTGGAATTGTTTACACCTCCGTAACTAAGCACATTTGCGTAGTTACCGTAATTTATCAAGCGTCCTACAAATTACAATTTCATGTCAACACTTATTTTTTTTACGAGAAATTACAAAACAATTATGTTGAATTAAAAATTATTTCTGAAAAAACAAAATTGATATTGATGACCATCCTTTATTAAAACAATATATTAAAAACAGCAGAAAGCCAGCTAAGCAGAAGTGCCTAACTACGAAAGTGGCGCGGCGCGGCGAATAAACAAAATTCCGATAGTGGCCACAAAAAGCGACTGGTACAGAAGATTAGCAGTTTCTTTTTCCATAGGTGGAGAATTGTCAAAATGCCAGGGGGTGCTTTCACTGGCGGATCCAGAGCTTGAGCGCGGGCGGGGGGCACACCAGGGAGGGGGCCAAACCTAAGGTACCCCCAAATCCTGTTTTCTCATTGGATTTAGGCCACTTATTTTTCGTAACAGCCCTGGCACGATGTTTTTTAACTTTTAAACTTAAAAAAAAACTTTTTTTAACTTTTTTAACTTTTTTAAAAAGAAGTTGTAGGCCACCTGACAGGGGCTTTTTCTTTCGGCACCTGAAGCCTCTATGGGCCCTAAGCCTCTCTGGGCCCTATGTGGGGCCATTGGAAGTCAGGTCAAGGGGTGACCCACAGAGTTGCACGTGACCACACGGTGCCGACTGCCGACACTCCGCAGGAGATCGTTTAGGGCTTCAGAAACTCGTCTTTTCTGTCAGAGGCCAGCGAAACCGCTCAGAGATTTGCGCGGGCCCTAAAAGATCTGCGCGGAGTGCGGACCTTCGGAGACCTGCGCAATATTTGCCCTCAAAGGTTCACCTGGGGCCCCTAGAGCCTGACGTAGGGCCCCTTGACATGGGTGTGGCCCTCAAAGACGGCTGAAGAGACCCTTAGAGATATGTGGGTCTTTAGATACATGCGTCTGGTGATTGACTTGGGTTCTTCTGAATGGTTCTGAATGCTATCAGGGAGCTATTTCTCAGATATCAGCTAGGGCTCTCGGGGACTGCTTTTGAGCTTCAAAAAAGCCTGTGCGGGGCCCTTGGGGCGCATCCGGTGTCCTCAGGAGTTGGGTGCCTGTGTGCGGCTTCAAGAACCTGACGGATCTCTCAGGAGCCGGAGTGGGTAATTGGAGACCCCGGCCCCGGGAGAAGACTCGGCACTTAAAACTCCGACGAGCCAAAGAGCCGGGCGTCAGGGGCCCCTAAGTGGGGATGGTAGAGGACAGGTGCTCCTTGTGCCACCCTTGGCTAGGCCACTTGCCCCTTCCCCCGACCAATGAGCCAATGAGCGTCGAAAATAACTATTACATGCTCTCTTTTTCATCCCCAGGGTAGTCAAATCCTTCACCTCATTCTTCAAGGACTCTAAAAACCTGGTCCGGGCTAGACCCTTGACGGTCACCTCTATCCGAAGCGTGTAGGTAGCTCCCCCAGAAGCATGCTCAGGTGCGGTGAGAAAGCATCAGTGGGTCTGGGTGAGCTGTTTATCATGGCGGGCTCAGCCGCCTAGCAGCCCCATTCAGCCCCATGCAGGGCCCTACATGCAGGTTGGCCGCCCACTGCCCAGTGCCCGGTGTCCCCAGTCTCTCCCTGTCTCTCCCTATATTATCATGCTCCCGACTCTGCAGTCTGCAAAGGTCTCGCAAGATCGAAAGAGCCTAACCTTGCAAAATAAAACAAAGAAGCATCAATATGAGCTATCATTGACGTTGATAAAACGTTTTATGTAATATGTTCTATCTAACATGGAGCGTTGCTATCGCAGCCGCAACCAGTCACAGCAGTTGCACTGGGTTAATCTAGCAGCAATTGATATTGATATTCGCGAATCTGCTGCTGGTAGACAGGCATTCTCCGTTCCTCGAGGCTCGAATATGCTGCTTCTGGGCCTGGTACGATTTAAAAGTAAGCCCTCTTCAGCCGACATTGCTAAAAAGGCAAAATAAGAACTTGAGTCGTGTTCTTGTCGCTTGTCCCCACTTGGGATGAGAGGAACAATGAAGTGTATCTGGCATATTATGTCGAGATTTGGATTGAATTTGATGCGAAAGGGGCTAAAGTTAGTCTGGGCTCAGAATCCAACTTTTGTTTCATGCCAAAAGCAGCAAATTCGGAAGCCGCGAATGCCTGTCTACCAGCAGCAGATTCGCGAATATCAATCTGCTGCTAGATTGACGAACGTGCAACTTTTTGCAAGGTTAAAAAGACAAATTTCTTCAAGATGAAAATTATTTACTATTGAAATAAAATATATCACAAAAAAACATGTCAAAAACGTCCAAATGAAATCAGCTTTTGCAAAACCATTAATTATGAAATGCTTTCTTGAAAATTGTATTTCTTTCCTCTGATAAATGGAAAACTTTAATATGGCGGGATAAGAATTTGCCATCGCTGCGCTATTGCAACGATTATGGCGCAGGCCAGTTATTCTCTTATTCCCTTCAAGTCGCCAACGTATCATTTCTTTTTAGAATTTTGGGTTCATGAGCTAAAGATATACCTATATCGTAGAGCCGAAGCATATAATGAACAAATGCGTGCATTGTCCAACAAGATTGTGTCCTGACTGTGAGTTTCTGCAATGTTTTCAGGCTTTTGTCACAACAGGTGAAACACCAGCATCTTGAGACATATCTTTTTTTCTTACAAATAAGTCCCAGGACATTGGACAATTGGGAGCAAGAGAATTATCTGTTCCACTTTACATTATCTTTAAAGAGTCATTAGAATCAGGTGAAATTCCTGATGATTGGAAGTGTGCGAATGTCATTCCAATCTTCAAAGGTGGAAACAAAACTGTAGTGAGCAATTATAGACCAGTAAGTTTAAGTTCGGTCGTGTGTAAAGTGCTAGAAAGAATCATAAAACGTCAAATAGTTGCTCATTTTGAGGAACACGAGATTTTACTTCCATCTCAACATGGTTTTTGTAGTGGACGCTCCTGTTTGACAAACTTATTAGATTTCCTTGAATATTCGACAGACCTTTTGGACAGGAGTAACAGTGTATCAGTAGTTTATTTGGACTTCAGTAAGGCATTCGATAAAGTTCCACACAAAAGACTCTTGATCACATTAGAGCGTCATGGTTTAGATGGTCCTCTTCTCAAATGGATAGGGGCCTGGCTAGTAGGTCGCAGGCAGCGAGTCATTCTAAATGGCCATCAAGCTGACTGGAAAGCTGTCAAGAGTGGTGTGCCTCAGGGAACTGTTTTAGCACCATTGCTTTTCATTATTTTTGTAGATCTTATAGACTCTGACTTAACAAGTAACATATGGAAATTCGCGGATGATATCAAGATAGCTAAAAATATTACTTCAGATGACGATAGAAGAGCACTACAGGCAGACTTAGATGCTCTTTTAAAATGGAGCAAGGAATGGCAGATGGAATTTAATGCTGATAAATGCAAAGTTCTTCATCTGGGAGAAAAAAGTAACGATACATATTATTTGAATGGAACTAAGTTGGCAACTGTGAGGGAAGAAAAGGACTTGGGTGTTTTGGTGACAAATGATCTGAAGTTCAGTGGCCATTATGTGCAAGCTCGAAAAAAGGCTTTAAAAATGTTGGGGGTTATAAATAAAAATGTATCATATAAAAGTAAAGAAGTGATGAAAAGACTCTATTGTTCATTAGTTCGGCCTCATCTCGAATACTGTGCACAAGCATGCCACTCGTCTCTAAAAAAGGATATAAAACTTTTGGAGCGTGTGCAGAGGAGGGCAACAAAGATGGTTCGTGGGCTGGGTGAAATGAGCTACAGAGAACGCCTGGCTTCCTTAAATATGTTTTCACTTCATTACCGCAGGATAAGAGGGGATTTGATTGAACTTTTTAAAATATACAAAGGGATTGATAAGTTAGATTTTGGGAAGATGTTTACACTCAATACAAATTCCACGAGAGGAAATGGGTGCAAACTAGTAAAGAAATTTTCCAGAACCAAGTTAAGACAGTCCTTTTTTACCAGTAGGGTCATAGAAGCTTGGAACGGTTTACCTCCTAGAGTTATCAATAGTTCCTCCTTAAGTAATTTTAAAAATGAGTTAGACTTGTATTATAAACAGCGTGGGCTAGTGTTCGATGAAATGGTGTAATTGTACCGTGTTTTACATACAGTGTTTGTTCATCTACCTGTAACCTCGTTGGGCCCAAGTGGCCTGCTGTTACATGGAATACATGTTATGTTATGTTATGTTAATTGGACAGTCATTGAGTCTTGAGCAATAACAATCGTTTTCATCATGCAAATTGTAACCGTGATACCTAGGTATTGGGTGCATGCTTCCATTGAATGCTTCACAAAGTTTATGTTTGACTTTGTGAATGAAAATGACATGTCCTTTACCTATATATTTTTTATCATGCTTAGAATGTGAAATTTTATTTTTGTGTAGACTTGCAGATTCCAGGGGGTGCTTTTGGCACACTTTTTGGCTCAGGGGGTGCTCGCGCACCCCCAAAACCC